GGGACAGTGATCAGATTTGATTGCACCCCTTTCTCTAGCTTCCTTTCCGTGATAGTTTTGAAACCAAATGCATTGTGTAGATTATGCCCAGACTTAGGTAAACAATAGTAAACCCATCAAGCCTTTGTCCACCTATTGCAGGGGTAGGCAACCTTTCCCCTTTAAGGGCTGAGGGACTTCAGCTCCCAGAAGCCTCAGCCATGTTGGCCAATAGTCTCATGTTGGCCAATAGCTCCTGGGATTCTGGGAGCTGAAGTCCCTCGGCCCTTAAAGGGAAAAGGTTGCCTACCTCTGACCTATTGTTTGGCTCATGGCCAGGAGGCAGAAATTCCCTATAAGAACCCTTGGATTGTAGCAGACCTCGTGCTACCTTGGAAGTGCATGCTGAATCTCTGTCGGTCTGCGCTCTGAGATAGTTCCTGCAACCCCCTCTCTTGCCGGTTGTGCCCCTTTCACGGAACTCATCCTCATTCGTGCCATAAGTCCAGAGGAGTCTCTCAGGTGTGAATATATCCCCCTCTATCCTGGTTTCCCTCTTTGTCTCCCCCACTCTAGCTCTTTCCCGCTTATTCTTCTAGTGTGTGTGTGCATGTGCCACATGTGAATGTTTGCTTATTTTGTGAATAAATATTTTAGACTTTAATTGGAGTTTGGTCTATTTCAGCGTCATTCCTTGCCAGAACTCTTACATCTCTGGTATACAATTGGATAAGATCTCCGAAGCGAAGATGGGCGCTTCACTCTCACATTTGAGCTATTATAAATTCCCCAAAATTAGGCTTCTGTTTCCCAACACTTTCCTGAACCCAGCTTGGAAATCTGGAATTTCTTACTCCATATATTGTAAGAGTCTTTGTTGAAGAATTTTGAACATCATTTTGCTTGCATGAGAAATCAATGTAATTCTGTAATTACAACAATTCCTGCTTTCCCCTTCCTGGGGGACTGGAATATATACTGAGCATTTTCAGTCTGTGGGACATGGTTTTGTTTTCCATATTTGTTGACAGATTTTAGTTAGAACTAGAGTAGGTTCTGTCTCTGTAGTTTGGTGCTCTCTCTGCTGTGATTGGTAAACAGTTTTGTCTGGGATGATGGTTTAGACAAAGAGCAACATTTACATTTTTCTAGAAGGCTATTATCTTCAGGGAGTGCCAATGTATTTTTTCCTTCATCCATGGAAGAACACCTGTAAAGGAAAGAACCTGGAAACCATTTGGCTAGAATACAAAAATCTATGGGGATTTTGTAGGTGTTATCAATGAGCAGAAATGGGAAAGAAGCTTACATCCTGTGTGTGTATGTGTATTTCTGAAAAAGCTGGATAAAGTTTTCATTTTCCATGGGCATTCTTGCCAAAATGTGGGACTAAGACTTGATGGCTCATTATATTACTGCAAAGAGCCTTAGAAGGCTTCTTTCTTGCAGGCAAGCCATACTTAATTAGCAAAGGGGTCAGGCAAGCATTCAATCAACCTATTTGTTCAACCTGTACACAGAAAACATATGAAGAGCAGGTTTAGAATCAGAAGAAGGAAGAGTGAAGATAGGAGGAAGAAACATCAACAGTCTAAGATATGCAGATGACACCATACTGCTAGCAGAAAACATCACAGACTTGAAAAATTACTAAGGAAGGTTAAAGAAGAAAGTGCAAAGGCAGGTTTAACACTGAATATAAAGAGAACAAAAACAATGACCATGTAGGTTCTACATCAATTCAACCTAGACAATCAGGAAATCCTTATACTGTTAGTTTTGCTGGACCTCTCAGCAGCACTTGATACCATTGATCAAGGCATCCTTCTGGGTCACCTCACTGGGATGGGACTTGGAGGCACTGTTTTGCAATGGCTCCATTCCTTCCTTGAGAGGCAAACCCAGAAGGTAGTGCTGGGGGATTCCTGTGACTCCTTGGCCATTGGCATGTGGGGTCCCACAAGGCTCTGTTTTGTCCCTCATGCTATTTAACATACACATGAAGCCACTAAGTGAGGTCACCTGGAGAGTTGGGGCTGGTATCACCAGTGTGCAGATGACACCCAGCTATGTTAATCTTTTCTACCTAATTCCAAGGAAGCTGTTTCTGAGTTAAACCAGTGCCTGGCAGCTGGAATAGACTGGATGAAAGCAGACAAGTTGAAGCTTAATCCAGACAAGACAGAGGTGCTCCTGGTCAGTTTTAAGGCAAATCAGTGAATAGGGATTCAGTCTGTGCTGGATGGGGTTACATTTCCCCTGAAGATGCTGGTCTGTAGCTTGGGTGCACTCCTGGATTCAGGATCAGCCCTGATCATGGATGCTCAGGTTTGGATGGCCAGAAGTGCATTTTTATAGTTAAAGCCAGTGTGCCAGCTGTGCCTGTTCTACAGTGACACATGCCTTAGTTATACCCTGATGTTATTATAATGCACTCTCTGTGGAGCTGCATTTGAAAAGTGTTTGGAAACTTAAACTGGTCCAAAGAGTTGTAGCCAGATTACTAATGGGTGCTGGTTACAGGTAGCACACAACTCCATTCTTGCAACAGCTCAATGACTGCCAATTTATTTCTGGGCACAATTCCAAGTGCTGGTTTGGACCTATAAAGTCCTATATGGCTCAGGCCCAGGCTATTTGAAGGACTGTATATTCCCATATCACCATAATTCAAGTATATGCAGCAACCACAGAGGCAGAACAGGAAGAAATTGATAGATTCTATGAAGGAATACAGGAAGAAATTGACAGAGACACCAACACAGGATATCAAGCTGAGCATTGGAGATCGGAATGCAAATGTTGGAAGCAAAGAAGAATCAAAGGTAAATTTGGATTAGGCAAAAGAAATGAAACAGGTGAGTGTCTGATAGATTTTTGTGAAGCCAATAACCTACCGGTATTCATAATAACAATAATAACTAATAATAACTAATAATAACTAATAATAATAATAATAATAATAATAATAATAATAATAATAATAATAATAATTTATATCCTGCCACAATAAACTACAGTTCCCATGATTTCCTAGCACTGAGCCAGGGCAGTTAAAGTGGACTCAGTTTGCACTATTTCTGGCAGTCTGCAAAGGCCCTATATAATTGGGGGGAAAAGATAGCAGAATTCTATACTGGTGGCCAAGACTAGACCAGGCGCCGACTGTGGCACAGATCATGAATTACTCATATTAAAAACAAGAGTAAGTCTCAATAAGAAAACAAAACTAGTGATTATACCAAAATATGATCTAAATAATATCTCATCCAAATTTACTGACAGCATAAGAAACAGATTCACATTACTAAGCATAATAAACCGAGAACCAGAAGAACTATGGTCTGAAGCCAGGGACACAATAAAAGAAGAATGCAGACAAACACTTTCAATAAACAAAAAGAAAGAGAAAAAACCATGGATGACAGAAAAAACACTACAAGCAAAAAAGAGAGAGAGAGAGAGAGAGAGAAACCAAAATGGAGATAGGGAGAAACTAAGAATTATGAATGCAACAGTACAACAACATGTGCGGAAAGATAAAGAAAATTACTACAATGACCAATGCTGAAAAACAGAAGACAACAACAAAAAGAGAAGAGCAAGAGATCTATTCCACAAAATCCAGGAAATCAAAGGAAAATTCAAAACAAGAACTGGGACGATCTATGACAATAAAAATAACATAATTCAAGACCAGGAAGGAATAACAAGATGTTAGATGCAATACACAGAAGAATTATACAAAAGAGATGACAAAATGAAGGACACATGGAATGAAGAGCCATATGAAGATGAACCCCAAATTCTATCTGTTCAACTTGCTTGCAGAACATATTATAAGAAAAGCGAACCTATCATGGTGTTTTCTTGGCAAAGTTTGTACAGAATGGCTTTGCCTTTCTGAGGCCAAGAGAGTGTGACTTGTTCAAGGCCACCCAGTGGGTTTCCATGGCCAAGTAGGGATTTGAACCCAAGTTTCCATAGTTGTAGTCTAGTGCTCAAACCACTATACCACACTGGCTCTTATTTGCTCATTTTTCCTACTATATTGTTGTTATTATTGCCACTATATTGTTGCCACATTTTATTGTTATTCTCAGCATAGTAACTCAAAAGAAAAATGATAAGAAACAGCTTACTCACAAGAAAAGGATGCATGTCATATAATGAGAGAAAAGGTAAAGGAAAGGAAGAGTATGACAGTGGAAAGAGTCTCATTGGAAAGGGAAGCAGCAGTGAGAAGGAGGAGTGGCTTCTGAATACAGGTTGAGTTTCTCTTATCCAGAATTCCAAAATCCAAAACTTTTTCCTTTTTTTTTAAATGCTTTATTAGATATTAACAAAGACACAACATTAACAAAAACTAACAAAGACTAACAAACAGTACTCACAAAAAACACAAATCAGACAAATTGACCTCCTGGGTCCTTAGACCAAGCCTCCCAATAAAGTTAC